GGTGTAGACTAGTATCTTACACCATTTACTAAGATAAAGTCAAAATGGATACATGACCTAAATATAAAGAGAGATATTACAAGAAAATTAAAAGAACATGGAACATATAACTTATCAGACTATAGGGAAACAATGCATAAATAAACAAGAGATAGAGAGCAGAGTTAGATGTAAAATGGATAGTTTCAATTACATTAAGTTTTTGTGTAAGTAAAACAAATCTAGTCAAGATTAGAAGGAAAGCTGAAGATTGGGGGAGGATTTATAGATTATCAGATAAAGCCCTCATATCAAAAATATATAAAGAACTTTGTCAAATCTGTAAGAATATGAGTCATTCCCCAATTGATAATTGGTCAAAGGATATGAACAGGTTGTTTTTCCAATGAAAAAAATCAAAACAACTTACAGTCATGAAAAAAATGCTCTAACTCATTGATTAGAGAAATGCAAATTAAAACAACCTTGACATAACAGCTTTTGAAGACCTTACTGTAGCAAAAGAGAACCCTTTTCTTTAGGTAGTCCTGTACCATCTTTGAATAGTTGAGAGAAAGAGATCTACAAAGAAAGACTATATCCTGACATTTTATTTTTAAATTTTTTTTCAAATTTATTGTTCTTTATTATTTTTAGCATTCTTTAAAATTTTTGAATTCCAAGTCCATTCCCTCCCTTTCACCCCCGTCCCATCCATTGAGAAGGCAAGCAATATGTTGGTTATACATGTGAAATCATTAAAAACATTTTCATATTAGCCATATTTTAAAAAAAAAGAAAATGAGAAAATTATACTTCAGTTTGCATTCAGAGCTCATCAGTTCTCTCTGGGATTTTTTTCAAGGAGTCTAGGCTTATCAAGGTTTTTGAAGTGAGCATGGTATTAGAAAGTTTTTCATCAAACCTAAGACTTGACGAAACTTGTAACTTCCATCCATTGATCCTTGTTTTGCCTTCTGAGATAAAACAGTCTAATCCTACTTCTTTATGATAGCTGTTTGCTTTTATGGGCAGTTATCTTGTTTTCCCCTAGGTCTTAATCTTTTCCAGGCTAAATATTCCCAGTTTATTCAAGTAATTCTTGTGTGGAATGACTTGGTTGTGGGGCAAAATCCTGGGGCTACATGCTACATAGCCTTCTTTGGATGGAGTACTATGCCTTTCTCACTGAAGCCTAAAATGAGCTTTTTTGACTCTCTTGTCAACTTTTGTCTCATGCTTATAGTCCATCAGAACCCACAGATCTTTTTTGTATCTTTTGTTATTTAGGCTGCCAAAATATAAGGCAAAACATTCTTGCATTCAAGGAATTTACATTCAGCTAAGGAAACACACAGATAATTCAAATAAATAAATAGCATATAAACAAAACACAGTATTGGGAGAGGGGAGGAGCAGCATTAACAACTAGAGATATCAATCAAGAAAGGCCTGTTGGAAGACTTGGCACTTACTTTGAGCCTTGAAAGGAGCCAGGGTGTCTAAGAGGTAGAGAAAGGAAGGAAAGCCTTCCAAGCACCGGGGACAGCCTGTGCCAAGGCCTATAAGTGGGAGACAGCATGTTCTATGTGGAGAACAGTAGCAAGTAGATTGATTTGGTTCCAATGTACAGGAAATTGGGGGGAAGGGGATGGAGTGTGCAAATATTTAACATACCAATCAGTAGGAAGATAGACTGGAGCTGGATTGTGAAGGTCGTGAAATACCAAATGCATCTTGGAGGAAATAGGGAGCTACTGAAGTTTCTTGAGCAGTAGAATGACATGGTAGAATCTTTATTTTTAGGCTATTACTTTGGCTTCTCTGCAGTAGATAGGTTGGAGAGACGGTAGGTCATCAACTCCTGTCACTCCATATATTCATTTGCCAAATCTTAACCTTTTCTGCCTCTACATGTCTTGTATCCAGTTTCTTTTCTTTGCTGCCACAGTTATCAACCTTGATTCAGGCCCTTATCATCTTGCAGCACAAATCATGTCACTCCCCAGTATGATCAACTGTAGTGGGTCCCTATTGTCTCTAGGATCAAATATAAGCTCTTATGTTTGGCTTTTTTTTTTTTTAAGGCAGTTGGGGTTAAGTGACTTGCCCAAGGTCACATAGCTAGTTAAGTGTCAGGTGTTTGGTCTGAGGCTGGATTTGGACTCAGGTCCTCCTGACTTCAGGGCCAGTGCTTTATCCACTCCACCACCTCGCTGCCCCTCTTATGTTTAGCCTTTAAAACCCTTCGTGTCCTGACCGCAGTCTACCTTTCCAGTCTCCTTATTCATTACTCTCCTTCCCACATTTTGTAGTTTAGCCAAACTGGCCCCCTCTCTACTCCTTATGCAGGAGGCTTTAATGCCTTTGCTTTGGCCATTCTGAGTGGATAGAAAAAACCCTCTTTTAATGAAAAGTTCATCTCTCTTATATCATCTTTACGTGAAGCCTTTTCTGATTCCCGTCACTCAATAATGCCTTTTTCTAGAGCTGCCTCATACTTTGTCTTTTTTCTGTACCTACTTATCGCTTGTTTCCCCCATTAGAGTGTAATTATACTTTTTGGTAGTAGGAATTATGTCATTGTTATTTGTGTCCCCAAGGCCTAGCAGAGTCCCTTGGCACATAGTAGGCACTTAATAAATACTTGTTAGTTGATTGATCTAGAGACACCACTTAGAAAGCTGTTGAAACGGTCTGTGCAAATGATCGTGGTGTGAGTAGAGAGAAGGGTACAAATACAAGGTATGTTGTGGGGGTAGAATTGACCACAAGACATGAGTGAGCAAGAATAAGGAGTTGAGTATGATTCCTAGGTTGTGAACCTCTGTGATTAGAAAAAATGGCAGTACACTTAGCAGAGAAAGTAAAGGTGGGTTTAAGGAGAAAGAAAACGAGTTCTTTTTTGTACATAAGGAGCTTGAGGTGCCTGTGTGACCTGCAGATAATGACTACAGGATTATTGCTACATAACTGGAAGGGATCTCAGAAGCTATCTATTACAAACCTCATTTGACAGATATGGCGTACTGAGGTGATGTGAATTTCCTCCAGATTATGCAAGGAGTTAGGCAGGCCGATGTGGGGCATGAACCCCAAGTCCCCTGACACCAGAGCCCCAAGTAGTTATCTTTCTGCTGTGCCAATGTGTTCAGCAGGCTAGTTGGAGATGTGGGACTGGAGCTGTTGGCTAATTTTTTTGTTTGTTCTTTTAAATTTTTGGAATTTAAGTCTTTGTTGTTTGTTATTGTTGTTGATGATTTCTTCAGTTGTGTCCTACCCTGTGGGACCTTGTGGACTTTTGTCCATCATATTTTCTTGGTAAAGATATTGGAATGGTTTGCCATGTCCTTCTCCAGTGTGTCTCCATTTTTCAGATGTGGAACTGAGACAGATATAATTTAAGTGACTTGCCCAGGGCCACACAGCTAGTAAGTGTTTGAGGCCAAATTTGAACTAAAAATGATTCCAGGCCCAGTGCTCTATCCACTGTACTACCTAGCTGCTGTAGCAACCTAAATATAGCGTTTTGCATTTATACTTAATTATTTTTTTCTTGGATTCTGCTACTGTGGACTTTTTGGATCTGGACTCTTTCAGCACAGTTAGCTGTCTCTTTTTGTCTTTGGCTCTCGCCCTTTCAAGAAACATTTAATGTCTTTGTACTGTTGAACATGGAAATTTTAGATAAAACTTGGAACTTAGGTTTTTTTGGAGTTGTTTTTATCTTTGAGTATCTTTTTGTCCTATCTACCCATTGGTTTGTAAGGTCCTAGAATTGTTCACTTTTTTTGTGTTCCTAGGGTCTTAAGAAGTGCCTTGGATTTGGTTACATGCCTGCCAAATTGAAGTTTGTAAAAGAACTCTTATAACTAAACAGATAGAACCTTAACTTTCTCTTGTCAGAAAAACCAACCAAACAGAAAAGGATTAATTTCTTTCCTGGACCATCTGATTAAGGCTCTTATAAAAATACCTTGGGACAGATAAATGCTTTCTTATTTCTGTAACTTGTGTTAGGGTTAAAAAAAACTCAATTGTTTTAGTTCCTACAGAGTCATTTTTGATGCATTAATAATTAAGCTCATGGGTTTCCTCTTCTCTCGCCTCATTCACATTTTGCAAATAATATTTTGTTTCCATATTTTTTCTCAGTATTTTCCTTTCCTTGTCTTCCTATTTTTTTTCTTGGTTATTGGTACATGTATTTGTATGTAAGTTTATAAAAAGTGACAGCAGTTTTAAGATTGTTTTTCTGTAGTGAAAAGAAAAAAAAACAACAGGGAAAATCAGAGCCTGTTAGAACTAAGGGGCAGCATTAGGGATAATTTGGTTTTTTAAAAAACAAAAGAACAAAACCTAAATTTCAGATGTGAACACTTATTTCAAATAACCAAGTTGATATTCCTAATATGTGGTCATCCTATTGAGGCTATTATTGTTCATTGACTGAAAATGAAATTCTTTTGGTTAGGGGTTAGAAGTGGCCTTTAAGTAATTTTAATCCAAAGACTCACCTTTTGTTAGCAACTGTTTTTTAATTAATTAAATATTCTACAAATTTTTTGTCTTAGCTTCCCTTCGGTGTATAGTGTTAGCATGGTGTGCTCAACATGAAAACTCTGTTTAACAATATCTTTCTTTTACTACTGTAGAGCAGAGATGTCAAACTCCCAGATGTCTCATTTTGAAGGAACTAAATTAAAATGTAATTGGAAATATGACACAAAGATACTGTTAATTTGTGATTTTCTAAGTCAGTATGCACTTTCTATTTAAGTTTGACACCTCTGCTGTAGAGCATAGAATATAGAAAATTCTTGGAATAGAATAATTTTAGATTGAATATTAGAATAATATTTAGATTATAATTTTGAGAAAATTAACTTGGATTTAATTGTGTGGTACTGCTTTGTAATTTTGCTTCATAATCAAACGTGCTGAAAATAGATAAAATTGTGCATTATAAATCAGCATATTTAAATGATACCATGAACATTAAACAGATTTTTTTTTGACAGAATGACAGCCCATATCAAGGCGGTGTATTCTTTTTGACAATTCATTTCCCTACAGACTACCCCTTCAAACCACCTAAGGCAAGTATTTCTCAAAATTATTGGCATATAGTGATGTTTTACTTAGGAAATATTTGCACACATGTCCTTCAAAAATAGAACTGTTGATAATTTAGACCTAAAGAATCCTAATCTCATCTCTTATGTTATTGTTCATGAGAATGAACAAATGTCTTAATTCCTATTTGTAAGCTCTTCATACTAAGGTTTTCAATTTTCTTTAGTCAGAAAAATATCTATTATATAAAAGTTTACATTACAGTGAGTCTTGAATGAAACTGAAACTTACATAGTTGAGAACAATGACTTGACTTTATAGAAATGATGATTACAGTACCATTTGCAACAGGTCTAAAGACCAATGAATGTTATCAGTCCAAATGAAAATATTTTCTGCCTTTTTTAGGTGAATATTTTATAGTATATCATTTTGGTAGTTTTGGACACAGTTTTTTAGTAGAATCCCAAAAGGTGTTAATCCTAAACTTTCCACCAGTCCTACCATACTAAAAATTCTCATTACAACAGTTGAGATTACCTGTCTCAGAAGTATCATTTGACCTTTTAGCCCTTGTTAATTTGTGAATATTAAATTTTTATTTAATTTTTTTTACTTGAACACAACATTAAAGTATAGGATTAATTTGTTTTTGTTCCTTTATATCTCAGTGATTGAATTAGATGCCTGTTACAAGTGGACTAATTTTTAGACTTATTTAAAATCTTTTTTCTGGTTCATGAAAAATCCAGAAAGATGTGAATTCGTTTGAAAAGCCCTTAAATATTTTGTTCTTTATTTTAGGTTGCATTTACAACAAGAATTTATCATCCAAACATTAACAGTAATGGCAGCATTTGTCTCGATATTCTAAGATCACAGTGGTCTCCTGCTTTAACTATTTCTAAAGGTAAAAAAAAAATTTAAATGAAAGTTATGTAGCTCTTGATAGTATTTTCTCTCCCTCTTGGTTGATTGATTGATGGATGGATCTTATTCAGGTCTCTCTGTTAAAAGTTATTTTTGGTTACTATACTTCCAATCAGTGGGTGAAGTTTGTTGCTTCTTTAGCAGCCCCTTCTTTAAAGTTTTCTTTGAGTGAGAAAGATTTTTAAAATAATCTTCTATTGTCCAGGAAACATGATCTGAGAGTTCTATAGATTATCCTCTACTCTTTTAAACAAAATATAGTATATTGATTATTTCTTGTTACTTAGTATGCAAAGTGAAAGGATCTTGAGACTTTGGTGTTATAACATGCTGGCAACAAATAAAAATTATTCTTTTTAAAAATTCTTTATACATTTAGGTTTGCTCCTTCTCTGTTAGCTAAATTGATTTAAACTCTTTCCTGGAACCAGGTACCTTAAGCATTTGAGCCCAGGGCTTATTTGAACAACGTATACCTATGAGCCTGCAAGACAATTGAATTTATAAAACTGATAGCTTGAAAACTACAAATTATAGACTGAGAAATTAGAGCTATAAATAAATATTATGCCAACTTACGTAACACTTCAGAGATTTTACTTCAGTTTAACAAACAAACGTGCTTGTTTGCAGAACTCTGTGCTATGTACTATGAGATAAAAGGCTTAAATCAAGAAACCATTGGGAACACCTCATACTTCATCACAGATCTCCGCAATGAGTGTGTTCATACTTTTCATAAAGGTTTTCTATAGCTAGGATTCCTATGATTTTGGTATTTTTTTGGTCACCTTTGAAGAGGGGAATAGAAGGATGAGTATCTTGGAATTTATCTCACCCACAGTTATCTGGGACTGTGATTGTAGAATTCACATGTAATAATTTCACTGTCCTTGACTGGAATAAGAGCTTATAATGCACATCTTCACAGGTCTTTTCCATTTCCATTTTGTTCTTTCAGTTTTATTCTAAAATGTTCCTCAGTATTATTTGGCTTGTTGTTTGTTGTTCAGTCATTTTAGTCATGTACAAATGTTTGTCAGTCAGTTTGGAGTTTTCTTGGCAAAGATACTGAATGAGGAAACTGAGGCAGACAGGATTAAGTGACTTGCCCAGGGTCATACAGCTAGTGTCTTAGGTCAGATTTGAATTCACAAAGGTGAGTCTTCCTAACTCCAGGCCTGATACTATCCACCGTACCACTTAGCTGCCCCATTATCTAGCTTAACTTGAGGTTTGAGGTCTTTGTCCAACTTTCTATAAACTTTTTTCCTTCTGCTATTCATTGCTGTTTATGAGGTGATTTTGAACAAATTTTTCTATTGCCCTTCTATTTATGATCGTGTGAACATTTATATTCTGAAATGGTGTTGTCCTTAGTTATCATAGCTCTCTACTTGGCAAGATCAAGTGTTTGTGGCTGATATGATTTCTAGGCAAGTTTACTCATTATAGCAATTTGTATTGGTAGTCATTTCCCAGTTTCAGTAGCTCATTTAAATCAGGTTGGAGTTGACTTAATTGAATGCTATCACTTATATTTAATCTGCTAATTTACTATCAGTTTTATTCTTTGCTTGAACAAATCCATGGTGTTTCTTCTCAATGCAGATCATAATAAATATTGTATAGAAGATCCAGATAATTTCCCTTTCTTTCTGAATTTAGTTTACTGTTGTCTTCTCTTTTACAATTCAGGCCCTTATACTAGAAGACTACAGTTTCCACATTTATAAAACTTCTTAACCTCCCAATTCTGTAATCCCCTTGAATCCCACAACCTATTCTACTTTAACCATGCACAAAGATAGTCACACACTGGATCAAACCATTATCCACTAATGTGCCACTTTTTTGATTAAAGCTATAACATTCCTGTTTGATCATAGCCTCCTATAATACTAATTTTCCCTGTCTCACCCTTTTTAAAACTTATTTTAAGTTATCATGATCTCCAATCCCTCCATACTTTGCTGATTTGACTTTACTTCCTTCTCATCTTGACCCTAAAGTTAACTAGTTTGACCCTCCAAAATGCCCTGCTCCCTTCTCCTTTCTACACTGATTAAATTCTTGCCAAATCTGAACACTAGGTTACTTCCCACCACCTATCCTTCTCCCCTCTTCACATGGCTGCTATGAACAGACCTGAAGGAAATCACATGCCCCTGCTAACTATACTTTATAAATTCATGTTACACAACCTCAACTGGGCTCTTATTGCAACAAGACAATCCTTTCATTCCTTCCTAATTAATTCCCTGCCTCATTGCTCACAAGCTTCTTTCCTCAAGTCTCCTATACATCACCACCATTTCAGCAGTGGAGTTGCCCTTTTTGCCAAGGCCAGACCTTTTATGTGCCATTAATCCTGTCTCCCTCCCATCTTCTTTCTTTAATCTGTAATGTTTCCCTATCTCCTTGTTTTTTCCCTGTTGCCTTCAAACATTCTCCCTCCCCATCATACCCTACTGTTAACCTCAAGCCATTGTCTTATATCTCTCTCTTCTCTTCACTGCTTACACCTCCTTTCACTTTTCAGCTCTCTGTAGCTTGGCTTGTGACCTTATCATTCAGCTGAAATTGCTTTCTTCCAAAATGACTTTGTCCTCATAAAGTTGTTCACTTGTGTCCAAACCTAGGTTTCTTTGGCAATAATAATTAGAGTTGGTTTGCCATTTCCTTCTCCAGTGTGTCCCCAGTTTACAGATGAGAACAGGCAACCCAAAGCTGCGTAGCTAGTAAGTGTTTGAGGCCAAATTTGAACTCGGATCTTAATGGTTCCAAGCCCCAGTGCTCTACCCATTGAACCACCTAGCTGCCACTCCACAGTAGCTAATGGTCTTTTAATTGCCAAATGTCTTTTCTCAGCTCTCATCCTTTCTACTTCTTTGCTGCATTTGAAACAGTATTTTTTTTTTTTTAGGCAGTTGGGGCTAAATGATTTGCCCAGGGTCACACAGCTAGTAAGTGTCAAGTTTGGTCTGAGGCTGGATTTGAACTCAGGTCCTTCTGACTCCAGCACCCATGCTCTACCCACTGCACCAACTAGCTGCCCTTATTTGTATTTTCTGTATAAGCTTAATATATTATTGTTGAAGGACTTTGTTTCATTGCATCTCTGATGCCTCTCAGGTAGTAGGTATTTCGTATCTATTGACTGGTTTTTCTGTACACAGCTGCTTCAGAAATTCCTATCTCATCAGTCACCCACCAGTCATTTCACTTTTTGTGATACCATTTGTTGTCAAATAGTTCTAGTGCTTCTCAGCCTTTTTGAAGTATTTATACTGTGCCTTTGGACTTTCATTTCAGTCTTGTCTTCCCCTTTGCATTTGAAGTCATTGAGGTTTTTAGGCAAGCAGAAATGGGAAAGATCTCTATGCAAGACCTTTCCACCATGGTTTTTGTCATTGGCTCCTAGGGAACTGCTTAAGGAACATAGAGGTGAAGTGACTTGCCCACTGAGTAGAGGTGGTTCTTGAATCCATGTGTTTCCAGCCAGATCCAGCTCTCTTACCTATAGGGTATTCCAGAAGTCTTAATGCAGTTTAAAACTTCACTAAGACTTTTGAAACAGCCTGTAGTCTATCATTAAAGTACGCGTCGATATATTTTGAAGGGTTTTATTGAGATCTTTGTAGAATTTCCCTTCATCTTCATCCTCTGCATCAGTTATTGGTGCAACAGCTGCAGTTATTTTCTTGGAGGCTTTTCCAAATGTTTAACCATGAGTACTACAAAATAATCAGGTGCCCCCTGGAATGTTACTATTGGATATGTGATCCAACCAGTTCCTTTCCAAGGAGAAACTGTAAGTTATCCTTCCATTTACTTAGAATTTTTTTTTATTGATGTTTCATTTATAGCAAGAGTATCATGAATGCAGAATGCAGTTCCTTAAGTATTATGTTCAGTAGCGTTAATTACTTGATGAGCGTATCATGTTAGAGTGTCGAAAGCCATGTTAGTGTCTAAAAATTGTATGATTCTTCCTGCTCTTTCCCTTTTTTTCTCCCACTCTTATCATTACTGCAGAAGCAGAAGGGCCCGGACAGGATTAAAGGACAGTTTATATTTCTTTGTTTATGTGTGTTCATACCTGAAAAATTTATTACTAAGTAATGAGATTTGTTAATAAACCTTGATAATAAGATTCTATATAGGTTAATTCGTTCTCAAAAAGCAGAAATAGTTTGTTATGAGGACTATACTTGAAGCCTTGCCAACATCATAGAACCTGCCAGAGCTTACATCACGCCACAGTAGCCTGTACACCCACAAGAAAGGATTAAACTAGGATTTGGTGTCATCGGGAAATGGACTAAGATTATATAATGTGTTTATTTTACAGTGGTGAAAACCTGGGGTCAGCATTTTATTTACATCTTTTTATTTACCTCAGTGGCCACTGTCAGGCCTTCAGACTTTCATTCTGAACAGTTCTTCAGAAAATATGGCCATGGCTCCAGGATGCTCTTCATAGCATTTCTTTATCTTGTTGCCACCTTATGACTAAAATTGCAAGCCTCCAAAACTTTGCTTTTAAGAATTGAGTTAAGAAAGCCCTAGTGCATATTTTGAAGTGGTCAGGCATTAATGGAGTATTTATACAGATTTGTTTGATGTTTTGAATCAAATTGTTCTCTTTCAGTTCTTTTATCCATTTGTTCACTGCTATGTGATCCAAACCCAGATGACCCCTTAGTGCCAGAGATTGCGCGGATCTACAAAACAGACAGAGACAAGTAAGTCCAAAGTAATTTAAGGAAAAGGGACACTTTGCATAATGGGAAAAAATGGTTCTACTCACTGAACTTGTTATACTCATCCCTTGTATGACTGTCTTTAGGAAAACTCAGTTAAGAAATGTAGAAATCCAGCATTGAAGCGGAATTTACATTTTCATTATGAAAGAAAGATGAGCCTCTCAAAACTTTTAAAAAGTTTAAAACTTTAAAATAGCTCAAAAAACATATTTAATAGCTTTTAGATGTAAGTAGAGAATAGTGAAGCCATGACTTGACCCTTCACTCTTTTCTGTAGTAAAATTGGTCATCTTTCATTGATCAGTGTTTATATAGTTTTCATAAATATTTAATCTTTATAACTTTGAGAATGTAGAATTCATCACCAACACGATTAGTTTTATATTTGTTATAATTAATCCCAACTTGTTTAATTAGGTACAATAGGTTAGCCAGAGAGTGGACAGAGAAATACGCTATGTTGTAGGGTAAGGAGATCTGCACTTCATAGTGCGTTTAACCATGAGTATTGCCAGCACCCGAGTGCTGCATGCTTTAAAGCACTGAATAACTAACAAAAGGTAATGGATGCAGTAGTTAACTGAGTCTGTACATTTAACAGCTTGATGTCTGATTAGTGTGGAAAATATAATTGAGTAGTCATTGCTTGATGATACATATGCATGGCAGAGTAATTATAGTAGTAATAAGAAATTTGAATTAAATAGCTTGTCTCTTGAACTGGTAAGTAAGACAAATTTAATTAACAGCTTTGGTAGAAATGGAATGTAGTATGTTTAAAAAAGGCCTAACCAAATTTCACTTAGATGTAGAAGTTATCACATTTATTTTAGGAAAAAATATTGTTAAGCCTGTTCGGTTAATCATAACTTTTACTACTGACAAGCATGCATGTGTTATCTGTGTCACTTTGTTGTGAATCCCACTATGCATTGTTTTAAGATGCAGGTTTTTTTAAGGGAGTACTTAGACAAAGAATATAGCCATAAATGTAAGTGGAACATAATTTTATTACTGAATTTATGTGAAAACACAGGGTGGGTTGTTGTTTGTTTTCGCCTCAAAGGAAAACACCTCATATCCTATATGCAAGTATGTATACTTTTTTTTTTTATAAGAGCTATCATGATATTTTAGTTTAAAGTAGTCCTCCAGTAACATTGATGTCCTTTTGACATTTTTAAAAGTTATTGGTGGCATTTACTTCTCACCATGTATTTAATTTCTGCACCATTTCTCCTCTAGTCCTTTTCTGCCTGTGTCATAGATAGGCCTGTTAGTGGTCCAGAAAAGCATTACTCTTTCTGATGATAGTTGGGGCTAGGTAACTTAACTAAATCTTAATTCTTTTCTTTTTCTTTTTTTTGGAGGGGGGGTCAAGGCAGGGTACTGTGTGAGAATGGGTCTCCCTGTCTTACTCAGACTGGAACAATTCATATGTAGGCTTAATCCCAGTAATGACCAGTGTTCATTTTTTAATCTCCTATTTTCTAATCTTTATCAGTTCCTCCCCTTTGAACCAACTAGCCCTACTGTAGTTCAGAACTTGCAACTTAAGTGATCCATCAGCCTTCCCAATAGTAAGGAACTACAGACAGGAAGTTCCTGGTACCACTTCTAGCCTAAGTAAACAATTAACAAGATTTAGAGAACACCTTTTCATGATTGTGTGCATTATTGTAGTCTAAGCATTTTTTTTCTGGACTTAGACATGGTGAGAAGGATTTTTTTAAAATCTAGTACAAGGTTGAGCTTTTCCGCTAATATAAGGTATTTTCAAGTGTGAGAATACAATACTTCTAACTAATTTTAATGTGTTTTAAGTCTATTAAAAACAATTGGGGGCTTTCCAAATAAAAATTTTTATTTGCCCCCATTTCAGCAAAATAACATGCATACCAAAACCTCTTTGCCTTTGATTGGTGTCCTCTAGAAGGATTCCATGACTGATTTGGTGGTAATTTCTTTTCCTTATTAAGTGTTTTAAATTATTGTGTGATTTTTAAAGTTTTATTGGTTTTGAACTTCTCAAAATCTTTTCCATTATTTACAGGTACAACAGAATATCTCGAGAATGGACTCAGAAGTATGCCATGTGATGCTACCTTAAAGTCAGAATAACCTGCATTATAGCTGGAATAAACTTTAAATTACTGTTCCTTTTTTGATTTTCTTATCCGGCTGCTCCCCTATCAGACCTCATCTTTTTTAATTTTATTTTTTGTTTACCTCCCTCCATTCATGCACATGCTCGTCTGAGAAGACTTAAGTTCTTCCAGCTTTGGACAATAACTGCTTTTAGAAACTGTAAAGTAGTTACAAGAGAACAATTGCCCAAGATTCAGGATTTTTTTTAAAAAAATGGAGCATGTGTATTATGTGGCCAATGTCTTCACTCTAACTTGGTTATGAGACTAAAACCATTCCTCACTGCTCTAACAGATGCTGAAGATAACCATCTGAGGGGGAGGGAGATGGATGTGCAATTGTCATATCAAAGGAAGCAACATTACTGTAGCGGCATCCATCTTGTTAAGCCTTCCATTGTTAGAGTTTGAGGTTTTATGATATACTTTATGCTCATAACTGATGTGGTTGGAGAATTGGTACTGAATTTATAGCATCAGCAGAACAGAAAACGTGATGTATTTTATGCATGTCAATAAAGGAATGACCTGTTCTTGTTCTACAGAGAATGGAAATTGGAAGTCAAACACCCCTTGTATTCCAAAATAGGGTCTTGAACTTTTTGTAATTTTCATTTAAATTTTGTTAGGAGGCTTGGAGCTATTAGTTAATCTATCTTCCAATACACTGTTTAATATAGCACTGAATAAATGATGCAAGTTGTCAATGGATGAGTGATCAACTAATAGCTCTGCTAGTAATTGATTTATTTTTCTTCAATAAAGTTGCATAAACCAATGAGTTAGCTGCCTGGATTAATCAATATGGGAAACAATCTTTTGTAAATGCAAAGCTGTTTTTTGTATATACTGTTTGGATTTGCCTCATTGTTTGACATCAAATGATGATGTAAAGTTCAGTAGAGTGACTATTTTGCCATGTTCAGTTAAAGTACACAGTCTGTTTCAGGTTGACACATTGATCAGCCTGATGTGTGCAACAGTTATAAGCTAATCTGATGACAGTGTAGCTGGACTGCTGCACTTACTACTGGTAGCCCAGAGTTCGAGTGGACTTGGGACCCAGAAGTTTTGAAAAGAGTTTTTGTGGGGGTAAACTATCTCCAGGTGCCGCCACCCCTTTTTGCTGACTTTTCTTCACCATGTACATTTGAAAACAGCTTAAAAATTCTAACATGGGAGTAATAATGGGACAAATATACAAAAATAAAGTACTGTTTGGTGTGGGAGTTGACAAGAGGCTGTGTTGAAGTGACTTTACTTATGTGTAATTTTCATATGCATTGAAAAGGATTTGTTCAGCCGTTTACATTAAGCGTTTTTTTAATGCAACTGACATACTTCAGGAGACTAAAAATGAATTAATAAAAATCATTGCTACTGGGAAAGTTTTTGGGGGGAGCAAGGGGCTCATTCAATAAGTGCTGTCTATACCATTAGTTAAACTTTAATAGCAGCAAGGGCATTATTTAGTCATTCTTCATTCTCACACTCACATGTTCGGTTCTTAAATTTTTGCTTGTTTTCCCTAGTTATGTTATTGTCTATTGATTCATTTCTTATGGTCCTGTATGCTCAATTTTTAGTGCATCTGTGACTTCTTTCCAGCATTATATTTTTGCACTACTTACAGTTACGTGCAATCTTATTCCTTGTCTGAACACAGACATGGAAAGCTAGATATAAAATAAATGTGAAACCTTAATTTTTATAAAAAAAATTGAATATGTAGTTTGGATATGATTTATTGACTTAAAGGGTTTTTTTTGTTCTCTAAAATGAAAGTGAAATGCATGCTTTCAGAAGTTTCTTTTTTTTTAATTAATAAGAATGATATTGGAAATTCATCTTAACCGAAGTATTTAAATTTGCTTTGAAAAGTCTCTTATTGTCATTCTAAACTTAATGTTTGATTGACTTAGTTCACAAATTATAGAATGGTGGTGGGTAGATAACCTGTTTTGCTGAAAATTTAAGGCATTTTGGAAAACCAAAATCTAATTTTTTTTTAAAAGGCAGATTTATTTTGATTTTGTGTGTGTGTGTGTGTGGGTGTGTGTGTGTGTGAATGATAAAACCTAAATTCTTTCTACCCACGTGATTGTGAAGAGTTTCTTTGGTTTGTTTCCTAAGATAGATTAATTTTCTTAAATGTAAAAAATAACCTTCCTTATTCAGAAATTCAGTGATTAGTTACTGGGACCAAAAGTTTGAAACGGTAGGATAAGACTTAGAATCTAAACATTCACCGCAAAAGGATTCCTTAACTAGTCTCTTAAATTTGACCTTTTCAACATTAGATTTTGCAGATGGTTACACTTTAGCTCATAAGTTGTCATAAGTGGCAAAGACAAAGGGTTAGGACTTTGAGTTGATCAAAGAAGATAATTTAAGGTGCACCTTCTTTGTGAACCTAAGTCCCCAGCTTTTCACAAGACAATCACAGGCTTCTTGGGGAAACCATCCAGAAAGTGTTCTCTGGGTCTCGGAGAACAATTGTGATAGAACTGGAGAAACTAATGTACTGTTCTGAATTCTCACTATACGAACACTTGATATCAGTTCATTACAACCATAAACTTCAGAAGATCCCAAAAATCACAAGGAAAGGGCTAGAATGGAAAAAATAAGTCGGCCACATGACCACTAATTACTTACATGTTACTTAGTGATGCAGAAAATCGAGGTGAATTTGTTGAGGGTATTAACTATTTAGTGCTGTATTGAGTTCTGGATTTGGAATTGAGGGTTTAAATCTTACCTCTGCCACTTATTTACTGTGTGATTTTTTAAGGAAGTCACAGCCTCTCAGGGTGTCAATTCATTTATACAATGAGATGGTTGTAATAAAAGACCTCTGGGGTCTCTTCTAGCTCTACTCTATGATCCTGTGAATTTACTAACCAAAATGGATCATGGGCAATTTAGTACCTGAAACTACCGTAAATTTTTAATGCAAATAGTTTGTTTAGGAAAAATCCAGTTGGCCTTTTAGTAGTACTTAAGAGCTTTAAGTGTCTTTTTTGTCTTTCGTCTTTCAGGTACATGTTCCTGGATGAACCTGCAGTGTTTTTATGTTTTCAAAAAATTAATTTGGGGGAGGGGAAATTATTCAGAAATAGTCCTTTTCACTTGAAAATGAGCTTTCACATTCTAAGTATTAACTTTAGTTTTGAATATTAAGGATGGTGACATTGGGAGTTAAAGGTCTTTCTAGGTCCAAGATAGTCTCAATACACTGTGCTGTATTCCCTCTTTCCCACCTATTTTAATGAAGGATGTCACTAAAATATCTCACAAAGGTACCTGCAAAAGGCCTTTGACAGATAGGATGAATTGAGCTTTAAGGAATTGTACTGGTCATGAAGCCTATTTCAGATGTCTAGCTTTTTGTTTAAAAGTGCAAGGGTTTTGAAGAATATCAGTAATGGTAAAAACTCCTCTAAGCTTTGACAACTCTATTAAAAGATCGCAGTTCTTAAGATATAGTAAATTAGTGGTCTTTTGAGTTGTTATGGCTGTATTAATTACCACATGATGAACCTTAACCAATTTAAAGTAGATCCTTGAACAACAGATTGCAGTAGGCCCATGAAGATTTTCTGTCTTGAATGGGAGCTTCCAGGGAGGGCTTTTAATCTTTGCTGGCATAGCAAAAACCGTGTTCATCTATACGTTTGGTAAGATACTAGAAAACTTTGGTACAGAAGTAGGATTCTTGGTCTGCCTTATTTGGCTTGTCATCTTCAAGTTCTTTTCACAATTTTTTCCTCTAATGAGATAACTGGCACTATATTAATTATTCCGTTTCAGTACAAAGATCTGACACATGAATAATTATTTTCATCATATAGTGTTCAGCACTGTAAACTTTAGAATATTTGAGATTGCTTTGGACAATGATAGTTTTTATAGCTCTTCTAATGACAGGTTTTTACTTGAGGCCATGAAAAAAGTTAACATTCGTAGAAGTTAAGCTTGGATAAATTGGTCTTGGTTTGTCTAAAGCAATTTAAAAATTTTTAAGTATGAAGTTTGATTTTCAGAAATTTGATTTTCTGGGGGAAAAAAACCGAGCTTAACAATTACCATAAATATAGTTTCATAACCACAAATTCTTGACAAAATGTGGTTTCCTTAGTTTGGGGCTTAAATTTTTTGTTTTTTAGTCACAAAACTGATTTTCTATTTTTTTTTTAACCGACCTTTGATTTTGTCTGTTTAGGGAGCTCATCCTGAGGAACTACCAATGCAGTATATTGGCACTTGTGCAACTTGGAGAGTTGCCTGGGGCAGTAAGAGTTCAAGGGACAGACTGGACTTGAACCCATCTCTTCCTGACTAAGGTCAGCTCTATTGAATTGGCCAGGCTGCCTTAGATTATAATTGGGTGAAATCCAACCAGAACTAGTCGATTTGAAAGTTAGAAAGAACTTTGTAATCATAGTAAAAAAATCTTTATTTTACACATAAGTGATGACTTGCCCAAAGATCAGAGTTGCAGAACTGGAACTAGCCCCCAGTCCAGTTCTCTTTCACCCTGTTCTGCTTCCTCTCATGTATTCAGTGTCACAAGCTAATTGCAAAATATTGCTGCTAAGAAATCCTTTAATTATAATTGTACATTGCAAGCATTTTTTTTGGTAGCTATTACAAATCTGTTTACTGCTGAATTCTGAATTGATGACGTTTTGGAAGCAAGTATAATTGGAAATTGAGGAAGACATGAGTTCAAATCCTGCCTGAGACATTAGCTCTGTGACTCTTGGGCAAGTCACTTAGCTTCTCTGTCTTCATCTGTAAAAAAGGGGCAGTAATAGCACCTACCTCACAGAGTTGTTATGAGGACCAAATGAGATGGACCAAAACACTTGGCAAACCTTCAAGCACTGTATAAATGTTAGCTAGTATTTTGTTTAAAAAACAAAACTGTAATTCAAACTACCCAAAATGGAATGTTAGTTCGTGGAGTAGTCCACAATGTAGGCTTTTCTGCTCCCAGTAGTTTGAACCTTTCTAAGATACGTAATCTAGCATTCCATTAAAAGCATTTTCATTTGTAAATGGAAATATGTTAAAGCAACAAGATATAATTAATATTTGAGGTTAATTACGAAAACATCTGCAACTAAAATTAACTTTCTTAGGACTTTGCTAAATTTGACTCGAGATTTAGGATGGAAGGAGACTGGAGACATGTCTAAATGGAGTTGCCTTCTAAATTACTGAGCCTGCTTGCCTGTCCTGTCTTAATTTTGAAAAGATGATCCATGCCAGTGTGAAGGAGCAGGGAAGGAAAACTAATATTGCAGTTAAAAGTAGATAGCATTAAAAAAGAACTTATTTTGCATCCTACATTGTGTTTCTCGGTATCATTAATGTTTTGGGAAGTGTCAGGCTTACAGTAGATTGAATAGTAAAGCTTAGGGGAGGAGAAAATTTCTCTTGATACCCAGTTCCTTAATAAGTCTAGCAGTGTTCAAAATTTGCACTTAAAATTTGATTTTATTTAAAAGTTCATTTTAATATTTCTATCTGATTTGTACTCCCCAAATTGCTACAGCACATTTGATTGATTATGTAGATCTTTTTTTATTTTCTGCTGCCTTACAAGTTTTGTGTTCCCTTTCTACTCTTTATATTAGATAGTGAATTCTCCCCTGCCACTTTGGTCATCATCTTATGATGTTCATCAACCACACATATTACCTGAGTTCTTCAATTAAGGAAAGAATGTATACAATAACAAAAAGTATATACGATAGTTTTTAGTATTCTGATC